AGCCCTCTTCCACCCAGCCAGCATGCAAGGAAACCAAAGGCAGCCTTGCTATGACATAGCTCATGGGCCTGACCTCTTAAATCAGGGAAACGATGGTAACTGGAGGTGCTCAGCCTGGCACTTGGGGCTGTCCTGTGCCCCACTAAAAAGCTAAGGGAACCTACTGCAAGGAGGCAGGCTTTCCACTAAGAGGTGAGAGGAGACAACAGAAACTTGTGCCAGGGCAAGGGGCTGTGAGTGGCATGGGAGAGTACCCAGTGGGCAGCAGCAGCCATGGGAAAAGGCCCAGTAGATATGGGCTCTTCTCATATCAGCACCTTCATTCCTCCTCACAGTCCTCTTGGCATTGAATGCCGTGATCATCCCATTTTACAGGTGAGGAAACTGAGGCCCAGAGAGGAGAAATGACTTGTCCAAGGCACATCAAACACTGGTGGTGACAGTGAACACTGGGCCCCTGACTCCAGACCCTGTACTTGTAACCAGGGACAGGGGGCAGCCCTTTTGTGACATGAAGAGAGCCATCGTAGAGAACCAAAAGCAAGGGGCAACATATCCCCTCACCGCATGCAGCCTCCCCTTTGCATCCCAGCTCACCCTGGCCATTGACCTCAAAATGGAGCTGGTCCCATCCAGGCGACCATAGTGCTATCACATGGTAGCCACATGCCTGGTGAAAGCCTCTGCTGCCAAGTTCAGCACTGAGCAAAGACCCCAGACTCCCAGGCCAGCCAGCTCCTTAGCAACCAGCCATTAGGTCCAGCCTGGTGACATCCTCCCACCCTGGTGGAAAGTTCTTTCAGCGCCACTGAGTATATTTGGACCTATCCGAGCAGGAACTTTCTTTTTGCAAATGGCCAAGAAATGACTTCTTTACCATCCCAGGATGATTACATCCAGCCGCCCAACTGCCTCTTGCTGTCTGACCTGCTTTGTTGCAAACCACTGATTTCTCACCATTGGGCAGTAAGATTCCCGCCACTGCATAAACTTCCGATGGGAATCATCTGCTCCATGTTATTTATATAAATGAACGTGCAGACAAATCCCAGACTTCTAGAAAGTGCCATCTTACTGGAGAGCAGGCCCTGGAGAGTGCTGGGTGGGCCTCAGAGCCCTGGGCTGGCATTGCAGTCAGCTGCTAGTGGGTGTGTTTCCTCCTGGGTGAAACAACCATGACTGCTCCACTGGCAGCTGGGGCAGTAAAGGCAAGAAGGGCTTCTTGCTGGAAGAGAACATGTGGTTGGTGGAGACACAGGGCTCTTAACTGAGCCTGGGAGTCAGCCTGTCCAGGCCTCCATCTCCCCACGTGTGGAATCTATAGCCCTCCTGCTCACAGCACAACCATGAGCTGCAGAGGTGGCCTCTCAGATTCTGGGTCGGAGAGGATGTCTGTGTCAAGCTAATGGGAATTTCACAGGACAAGGTGGTGTTATACTAGCAGTGATCCCAAAGTTGCCCCTGGCTTCATTTGCCCTACGGGCCCAGCAGCCGAGCTGGACCTCACAAGGACGATGCCCAACCTTCTCTTACCATCTTTGGGGCTCTCACCAGCAGCTCTGACCCATGACACCAAGTGGGCAGAGTCACAGGGGAACTTAGTGACGTGGGGGAGCTCCACCCAGGCCAAGGAGGAGGAGAATGGGGCCACAGCTGGTGTCCAGGCTGTGCACACCCACTGAGGGCCGTGGAGGTAGCAGGGGAGGCCCTGAAGGCCAGACTGAGGGGTGGGACTTTATCCTGGTGCAGGGCGCATAGCCAGGACATGTGCTACCAGAAGGTGAACAGGGATATGGGGGCAAAAGGAATCAGGGGAGCTTCCAGGAAGAAGCGGTCTTGAATGATGCCATAGAGAGTGAACAGAACATAGAGAGAGGAGGAAAAGGGAGGCCCTGGATGCTGGGTGGGGAAGTACACCTGTGGCATTCCTCCCATACTCACACTCATGCAAGCTTCACGCAGTTTCCAGAGTTACAGCCCAAAATAGCACATTCCTTTTTCAATGATTTGTGCTTTGAGGTGTCAGGACACTGCTCTGCCCACCTGGGAGTGCTTGGGATGGAGGAGTGTGCACTCCACAGTGATGCTAGCGCTGAGGGCACCAAGTCAAAAGGCCAGGGGACTCCAGCTGCACCTTGCCCACCTGTCATCACCCTTTCTCAGCCAAGGGGCCTCGTGCAGTTACAGGGAGCCTTGGCCAAGCAGCACCCCATGTGGGCCATGAACACCCAGAGAGCAGTAGGGGATAACAGGTGGAGTGCAGCATCTAGCCCAGTGGTTCTCAAGCTCTGAAGGTCATGTGCATTTCTACAAACTAGTACCTAGTCAGTGCCTTCCACAGGCTGTGCTGAATGCTGCCTGGCAGGGTCCATGCAGTCAGAGCATCTCCACAGATAGAGGTTTTGTGGTTATTCTTTGATGCCTATCACCTCCCAGGTATTATCCCAAGGAAGAGAGAAAAGTAGGAAACTTGAGCCCCCAAAAAACACAAAAGAAAGAGGAGACTCCTGTTCTGTGGTTCTAGGCAGTAGTGATCCTATGAGCATTTGTGAGGCATTGCCAAGGGCATTGCTACCCTGTGAGGAAAGTGCCTGAGTTCCCAGATTTCTAGCCTGAAGGAATGTGACACTCAGGGAGATGTCTAGGGTCCAAAAAGTCTGCCAAGAGCTGTCTGCGGGGCAGAGGTTCTCATGGGACAGGAAGGACTGGTCACTTGGGGCTAAAGTCAGGAACCTAGGGTGGGTATTGAACAGGAAAAGCAGTTGAGATGGCTGTGGAGTGGGAGGGGCCACATGGCCTGTTGACCCCTCCGCCCCCACGCCACACAGGGCCTGCCCTCAAAGGACCAACTAGCAGAGGCCTCAGCATGAGCACTGGCCAGCACATACGCACTGTTTCAGCATGTTGAGAACGCCCTCCTGCCCCTCCGCTTCCCAGACTCTGCAGCCTGCCCAGAGCTGCTGGGCTTGGACCTGGTATAAGGGCTACCTTGGGTCTTACCCCAGGTGACCCAGCAGGTACCCAGTCTAGAAGCCTGGCTGTGTCCTGGCTCCTCTGCCTGGCACTCACTCCATGGGAACTCCATGGCTCCATACCCTGGGAACTGGCCTGCTGGGTCCTACCTGCTGGTGGCCAGCCTGTACCCCTCTGAGTCCTGGGCCCCTGTCTCGGCTCCATTACCTCACATGAGAGCTGGGGCCTATAACTGGCCCTTAGGGCATGCTCAGCAAGTGTTTGCTCATTGAATTAATGCATATGTGCTAATGACTGTTTCTGTTATTTATCTGATGTGAAGTTTGGGGTCAGAAGCACAGCCCCTGATTATGACATCATTCCTGTGAGAATTGATAGCTCTGTGAGGGTTTACAGTGTGGCTTCCAGGAATCCATTAGAGCTAATTAGTCCCCAGCAGAATGTGACATTCCTAGGCCACCACTTATCTCACTTTTGGGAACATCATGTGGCTCCTCCAGGCACTGCTGGGGATGGGAATCCTGTATCTTGTTTTTTTCTGCTGAAAGGTACCCCCCTGCTTTCCCCAAGACCTGAAACCATTTACTTTCCAGAGTTTCTGGTATTTCTGAGTTCACTCTAAAGAAGGCACAAGATGGTTTTGAAAAATCTTGTCCGAGGTGGAATATGGGATCTCAAGACCGCTTCTCTGAGGTTGGGGAGTAATGACAAGTACCTGTGGGCATCCTCTCCCCACTCAACCTGGTTCTTTCTTAGCACAGATGCTATTAGACCATGTACCTCACACAATTCAGGATCTTTGGGAGAGCATGGTTTCGCTGTGGCATCCTCCTGGACACCCCCACCTTGGGTGACCTCACTTGGGTCCAACAGTGCTGCCCATCCACCCTCCAAGTGAGCCTGAGCTCCTGGTCGTGGAACATGGAGCACATTTCCTGCCTCTCCAAGCCTCAGTTTCTTCATCTATAAAACGGGAATCAGAAGGTGTAAGGCTTGAACAAGCTGGTGTACCGTGGCCACACCATCAGCACCAGCTGCAGCTTCCTTTGTCATTACCACGTCATTGGTGATACAATCTGGTCAGAAAGTCTTTAATTCCGACACTCTGGATCTAAACTAAACTAGTTCCAGGCTTTGTTCGGACATTTGGCTTGTTTATTTTATTTTAAAACAAGGGGCAACTTTCACCATAGTAACTCACCAGCAGTTCTTTTTGGAAGCTAGAATTGTCAGTTCTGTGTGGAAATGGTGAGTGAGTGGTGAGATTGGGAGTCAGACGAATGCATTATGTTCCCTAAAAACTCAGTTACTACAACCTATTTAAGGTCCTCAGAAAGAAGGAGGTAAATAAAGGCCAGTGCCACACTCCGTGGTCACTGAGCCTCCTGGGCCTCTGTCCTCATGTGAACATAATGGCCTGGCAGGGGCAGAGGAGCCTGAGCCTTCCCCAGCTCTCTAGACGGGAGCCTTGGATTTTGGAAGTGAAGGCGATCAGTTCACAGGCGATCAGATCCAGCTGAGGACTGACAGTATATGTGGCAGGATGGAGGCTTAGAGGACTGGCCCAAGCCTGAGCGGGCTGGAGCTGCTGGCTGGCCAGGAGGCTGGCCATGCTTACCTTGAGGGAGATGCAATGGCAGTATGGGGGACTTGAGCCAGCACGAGGTGGCAAGGGATGGGGCCATTAGCTGTGAGCTCGGAGTTGCCCAGGTCCCTGTGGCTAAGGGAGGCCATGCAGCAGCCCCAAGCCACAGAAGAGGTGCCAATGAAGCAGGAGCACCCCTTACTAACATGTGTCAGGGTGCAGAGAGTGGTGCCAGCCACTGCAGGGGCTCCAGAGCTCATGGGAGGCGGGTGAAAACAGACCTGGCCTCGCAGAGGAAGACTTCCCAACAGAAGGGTGATTTTTGCAGGACCAGTGCTGGGGTGGGAGACCTTGCCAAGGGGACTTTGTCCCCGAAGGCTGTGGGTCTGGGACCTTTCCTTCCTGCATCCCCTGATTAACATCAGCATTTTCCTGCCTGCAGAGTCGAATGGCAGAGAGCCTGCGCCTTTTTGACTCCATCTGTAACAACAACTGGTTCATCAACACTTCACTCATCCTCTTCCTGAACAAGAAGGACCTGCTGGCGGAGAAGATCCGGCGCATCCCGCTCACCATCTGCTTCCCTGAGTACAAGGGCCAGAACACCTACGAGGAGGCCGCTGTCTACATCCAGCGGCAGTTCGAGGACCTGAACCGCAACAAGGAGACCAAGGAGATCTACTCCCACTTCACCTGCGCCACTGACACCAGTAACATCCAGTTTGTTTTCGACGCGGTGACAGACGTCATCATACAGAACAATCTCAAGTATATAGGCCTTTGTTGAGGAGCTGGGCGGGCCAATTTGCCTGTGGTGAAACCCCTGGGGTGTCACACCCCCACTCGTGCTAGGGAGACCCAGCCTAGGGGCAGAAAACTGGGGACCTGAAAAATGTCCCCCCCACCTCCTTGGCCCCCACATTTCTGCAAGCATAAATATATATGGATAGATTGCTAGGTAGGTAGACATCCACAAACATGCACACACACACACACACATATGCACACACACAGTCTGGAGACGGCAAAGTTCCCCAAAGTGTTGAGGCCTCATGAAGACTTAAGCAGTTGTCACCATGTTCACTATGAGCCCATCCTGCCCCTTCACTTTGCCTTCCCGAGCCGGCCCCGCTCTGCATGGGGGTCCTCGTGGGACTATGAGGATAGGCGGCTGGGTCATCTGGAAGAAGCCAGCTCTGCCCAAGCTTGGGACTGGGGACCTTACTGCTGACCAGGAGGGAGGTCCGGAGCAGGGTCCATGCGCCTTCCCTGCTGGCCACGCCTACCGCTGGCCTACTCTGTATCACGTTCGTTCATTCTGGAACCAGGGTGCAAGGCCAGATGACAGCACTAACCAGACCTCTAGCCACTCACAGCTCTTTTTAAACAGCTTCAAAATATGCAGCAAAAATCCACACAATAACATGAGTGGCACGATTTGTTTCAAACTAGGCCAGCTGGGTTCCAGCTTTTCTTCTACTAGTCTGATGTTTTATAAATCAAAACCTGGTTTTTCTTCTCTGACATCCTTTTTTTTGGCCAAATCTCGTGGTGTTTAGCAGAAATATGGAAAATTTCAAATGCAGTTGAGTATTCTTTTTTAAAATGCAGATTTTCAAAACATATTTTTTTTCAGGTGGTCTTTTTTGTGTCTGGCTTGCTGAGTGTAAAAGTTGTTATCTGGACGAGTCTGTCCCTCTGCTCCCGAGCGACACTGGGGCGGATGGCCGCCCTGTGACAGCCTCGCGGGGCCGCGTTGTACATAAGCCTGTGCAGCGTCCTCTTGTTACTGGTGCGGTTTCTGCTTTGTTTTTATTTCAGAAAATAAATGTGATGTATTTAAAGAAGGTTCTTCACCTAGGAGCGAATGAACAATAGCTAAATGTCTTTGGTATTTAAAAAGTAAATTATCCATTGGCTTTGCAAGTGGAGGAAGGGGAAGCGAGAGATGGGGTCCTGGCCCCTGCACGCCCTACACCTGAGACGGGCTGAGAGCAGCCTCAAGTCCTGTGAAGGCTCAGCCAGCATTGTAGCCTGAGGGAGGCCCTGCTGGGACCTCACACTCTGGCCCTTCATGTCCCAGGGCCTGTGACACCCGCCATCATGGAAGGACCTTGGCCGAGGGCCGCATGTAAATATGAACCCGTGCTGTTGAGAGGGAAGGCACCGCCAGAGTCCTTGCCAAATCTCCTTTTCTCTCAGCCACTGATTGGTACCTAGATGTCTGAGGTCAGTGTGTGGAATCACAGTCAAGGACTTTAAGAGATGTACAGAGGGAAAGAGGAGCTGGTGATTGTATGAAAGTTAAAGATTGTCTACTTTAAGAAAATAAAATACCCTGAATGAGCTGAGCCTTGTCCTGACGTGCTGTGTGTGTGTGCGGCTGACATCTGGGAGGGTGCCCAGAGACACCTTCCATGCCCAGGTTGCGTTTTCTTTCCCCTTATCCACACATTTAGGTAGAATCATTTGGAAATCATTTGAAAATCAAGAGAGGGGGAGGCCTGCCAGGCCCCTGTGTCTGGAGCGGCTGAGGTTCAGGGGTGAAGATGGCTCCAAGACCCCTGCCCAGTACTGGCCCAGGGTGCACCAACACCCACACCCATCACACCCTAGAGACACCTCTTCCAGAATTAGAGTTAGACTCATCCCCACAGAGTGGAAGAAGTGGAGAGCCTGGAGGGTGCTAACAATGGCCAACATTATAGGTGGTCCTGCAAGGTGTGGGGAGGAGGGGTCCCCCACTATCCCACTGTTTGCTGACTCTAGCTTGTGTGCTTAGAGGCATCTCCTTGTGGTAGAAAGCACTAATTAGTAGTCAAGTAACTGTTCGGCCTGCACCAGGGTCCTTACAGATATTTTAACATCTCTACCATAGCAAGTTGTTGGCTGTGACCCATTTTACAGAGAGGAAAGGTGTCCAAGGTCAAGGTCAGGGGTTGGTGGAACAGAGAGGCAAGTACCTCCCAAGCCTGGGGTTCTTGACTGGCTCTGCTCCTGATCCTTCTGCACTCAGACAGACAGGATTCCACTGGGAGCCCAGAGACTCCTGCACCTCCTCCTCCAACCCAGGACCCACACAAAACCCTAAATGAGGACCAGCAGGTGGAGACGCACATGCATGCACACACACAGATACACAGCGTACAGACACATACAGATTGGGCTGTCTCCCTCCCCCACCCTGAGCCCTCTTGGGGATTCCCTTCACACCTTCCCACATCACCAAACAGCAAAAACCCAAGGGGACTTTTGTATAAGAAGAAATAGCATGTGACTTAAAATCTTTGAGACTTATTTTACACTTTTAATGCCAACTGTGAAAAGCGCAGTAATTTCACCATGAGCATCCTTCACCTAAATATACACAGATAGAAGGAAAACAGGAGGATTCTGCCTTCTCTTTTGATGTGCTCAGGGATGGGAGGTGGCTTCCCTGAGACAGACCTCCCACTTCCCAGAGTCCAGTCGGCAGACTCTTCAGGGTCCTGCCCTCCACTGCAATCTATCTGCATTGCTTTTCTTTTTTTTTTTTTTTTTTTTTAACTTACATGACTGACTCTCCTTGCCTCCTTTCATCGACAACTCTGATTAGTATGTGTTCTATATTCTTCTCTTTCACAACATTTTGGAGACCATGTATTCAGTGAATTTCTTTTTTCATTTCGTGTGTTGACTGTTTTTATTGAAGTATAATTGACATATAATCCTATTAGTTTCAAGTATACATCATAGGGATTGAGGGGTTTTTTTAATGTTTATTTTTGAGGGAGTGGGAACAGGGGAGGTGCAGAGAGAGAGAGGCACAGAGGTTCTGAAGCGCGCTCTGCGCTGACAGCAGAAAGCCCCATGTGGGGCTCGAACTCATGAACCACGAGATCATGACCTGAGCTAAAGTCTGATGCTCAACCAACTGAGCCATGCCAGTGCTCCAATGATTCAGTATATTTATATATGTTATGAAATGATCCCCATGATAAGTCTAGTCACCACCTGTCTGTGCTGGTTCTTCCTCTCATGGGCCTGCTACATCCACCTCTTGCTCCGCTAATCATGCTGATGTACTTTCCCCAACCTTGAAGTCCAAGACTGTCTATCCCTCAGAGCCCAGCCTGCTGAGTGTTGCACATCCCCTCCTTCCCACACTCCATTGCATAGTGCTCACTCCAGGGCAAGGTGACCTGGGGACCTGGCACAATTTGACCTACCTCCTTCTACTGTGCCCAAACAGTGCCCAGTATGGAGAAGGCACATGCTAAGCCAAAGGCCCAGAAAAGGCCCACCAATGGTGGCATCAGCCAGAGGGAAATGAGCTCTAGGGCCAGCAGCAGAGGGACCAGTGAGAGGAGGCCAGCACCGACAGGAAGAATCTCTATCCTGTGCAGGAAGGCTTGGCCCAGTCCTGCCTTCTGCAGGTGACTAACCACAAGCCAGGTCCCACCGTGTGGCCAAAGACTCCCTCTTATAGGGCACACTGCCATCCTCACCTGTAGTTCTCTTGGTCATCAAAGATGATGAGACGGGTCAGTGACAATAACCTCAGCTCCCTTCAGTGACGACACACCATATGGCCCTGGGCTGAGCCTGGTACACACGTCTAATTCCAGCCTCCTCTACTCTCAGGAAGTCGAGATTACTGATTCGATTTTATAGAGGAGAAAGCAGAGACCTGGAGGGGGAATGACTTCCTGGTGTCACACAGTGTAACAAGTGACCCGACCAGGCCTGGGTTATCAGGGGCAGTGCTCCATCTACCTTCCCTGGAGCCCACACAAGCCCCTGGCCATCTGGGACAAATAGGCATAGGGCGCAGGTCTACTGGCTCAGGGGCAAGTACTGGGGAGGGGGTGCAGTACACCATGAGGACACGGGGGCCCCACCAAGGCTGGATGGCACCTTGGGGGCTCGTCTCACTAAGAGATAAGCTGGGCAAGGGGTTTCAGTGCTGAGTAGGTCCAAGACCAGGAGCCAGCTGGTACTGCCCAGTGCATGCACCAGAAGGACTTGACCCTCTTTGTGTAACAAGATGTCCTGCACCATGCTGGTGCCACAGCTGGGCTAGCAGCTCAGAGTCCAGTCCAGTCTCACAGGTGCACCCAGTCACTCTGGTTCCAGGATACTGTCAGAGGGCTCAAGGGGCCTGGGCCTTGGCCAGCGGGGCTGGTTGGGAGACACTACCGGGGCCCTGGTGCTGTTCAGGTTCATCCCAAAATCTTGTTACAAAAGAACTCTCAATTTCGACATGAGAGTTCTCTCCTACAGAATGTCTAGCCACAAAATGAGACCTGTTTCTGTGTGTGGTTAGCAGAAACAAGGGAATAGAGCTTCTCCCAGAATCCCCAGTGGTCATTTAGGGCCCAGCTGACAGGGAACATGGCCTGGAGGCTTCTGTATGGTATTTGCTTCTCCAATCTGGTTTCTCCCTGCCTGACTTGTACCACCCTGGGGCCTGAGATGAGAGCCAGGCTCTATCAGGCAGTCATTGATCCTGTGTTACCCCCTGCTGGTTACTCTGGGAAACTACACACTAGGCCAGATCTTGCCAGGCACCAAGGACTCAGGGAAGACCTACTTTCTCCCACAGATACCCAACACTACAGACGAAGCAACTGAGACACAGTGACTGGAACAGAGCAAGGGCCCAACACATAACTATTGAATTAATGAAGGAAGGGAGGAAATGAATTGCAGCAAATAACTAACAAATGATCCTTCAAAATACAGCATAAAACCTAAACACCAATATTTGTTGAGTGCCAGGCATTCAGCCAGGTGCAGAGGGTGCCCTCTGGTGTGGCAGTGGATAGGAAACCCACACTAATGACCACCAAGAGGAGAGCTGGCTGAGTCCTAACTACCCCAGCAAACCACACAGGCACACATATTCACATGCTCAGTGACGAAGCTGAGGCTTTGACAGGCTATGCTACTGCCCAAGGCCACACCCTGATTGAGAGTGCGATCACTGAAGTGGATGCATTCACCCCACCTGGAGGCCCAGTGAGGATACTACCTAGGACACAGCCAGAAGCCACCCAGAAGCCACTGTGTTCAGAGTTCCCCCAGGCAGACCTCTTGCGGTGTCTGGCACACTGTATGTCTCCCTCTTCCTCCAGCTATCCCCACACCGCACTGCTGCACATCCCTCACCAGAGTGTCCCAGGCCTGCCTTCTAGACATGCCACAGACCATGAGCAGCAGCCAAGAGATCCTGTGACAGAAGGCCGAGGTTCACCACTGGGGCCCCCAGTGAGGCTTGTCAGAACCACACAACCCCTACTCCTCATGGTGGGCCCAGTGGCTGTGGATTCCAGAACAACTTTGCAGGAAGGAGATAGAGGTAGGGCCCTTCCCACCAGAACACAGATCGCCATAGAACTTTCGTGATCAAGACAGTGTAGGACTGGCAAGGGCTAGACAAGAAGACCTAGAAACAAACAAAAATCCAGTTCAGGTACCTTCACCAGCTAAATGTAAAAAAGGAAAACTCTTACACTTTTAGGACAAAATAGGGCAGAATATCTTCATGAGCTCTTAAGCAGTACCAAACACAAACACATACACACACATGCAGACATATATGTGTGTGCATACACATGCGCACACACACAC